GCCCTCCAGAGGCAAGCAGAATAGCATAAAAGTTATTATTAAATTTGGGTTTGCAATGTCAGGCCCAGCTCAAATCGTGTCACTTTGTTCCTTGATTTTCGATGGCCCCTCTAGAGGCAAATAGAATAGTAAAAATTTTTTGATATAATATTTGGGGTTAAAATCAGGCTAGAATGGCTAAATCAATCAGTGTAGTTCTTGATATCAGACAGGCTAATTCCTAGTCAAGTTCGATAACATCATCTAGAATTGAGTCAAAATGCGCTAGAGGTTTGAATTTGATAATTGATTCATATAGCTAGAATTGGTTCGCAGGCGGTCAGGAATCTTTTCTGAGTACTATTTGAATTTTGTCCTAGAAACCCCATTTATGCCTTACTATTTTACTATTATTTAATTTTTAATTTTTCACTTTTTAAGACTTTTAATCAATTAATCCAATTAATCCAATATCTTTAAACTTAAACCTTTTAATTTTTTTTTAAAATTCTGATTCAGATTTTAAAAACAATTCAACTAATATATTTTTTATAAAATTAAATTAACACAAATATAACTTAAGTGAAATTTGATACAGTAAATACAGTAAATCATAAAATTAAAGATAATAACAATTTATTACTTTGATGATAAATATAAATTATTATAAAAAATTTGTCATAAACTTTTTATATTTGATCAAAATAAATAAAGAGTATAAATGATTATGAAAATAAATTTTTAATAAAATTAATTAAGAAAAGGACTTAAAATATATTAGAAAATAATTTTGAAATTACTAATAAGTTTAAAATACAAGTATAATGAAAGAAATAATTAAGTATTAACTCAAATTGTAAGTGAATACAGTCAAAGCTCGTTATAGTGAATCTCGTTATAGTAAAATCACGTTATAGTGAATTATTTTTAATTCACCAAATCAATTTTTTATAATAAATTTCTCTCGATATAGTGAACTCTTAATAAAATCTCATTATAGTGAACAAAAATGATTAGAACCAAGAGTTCACTATAAAGAGCTTTGACTGTATACAATTAATTAATAAAGTTTGTTTTGTAAATTAAAAATATTTGAAATATTAATATTATTTATTTAGCATTATATTAAATGCTTTTAATAATTATTAGTTGATTATTTTAATAAATATGATTATATGATATATATAAATTTAAAGTATTTAAAAGTATTTAAAAATGATAAAATAAAAACAAAATTTTTTGAGTTAATGTTAATTCAGAACTTATTTATTAAAAAAAATTATATTTAGCATATTTTTTAATTTGAAAAATATTAAAATATAATAAATAAATTATTTATTACTTCAGCTATTTTATAAATTCTCCTTTTTTTTAATAATTGATATAGAAAGCCCAATTATATTTTAAATTGTTTTTGAAACTTAATAAATTACATCTTTATTTTTAATACTTATTATTATTAATATTTTATGTTACTTTAACAATAATATTTGAATTAAATTGATGACATTTATAGCTAGTTAATAAAGAAACAAATCAATTATACTAATATTACATTCTCTCAATTGCTAATTATAAAATTATTAAAATTAGAATAGATTATTATTAAAACAGCAAAGGTCTAAAGATTTAAATATTAGTGAAACCAATGGATAAAATATCTGATTTTATTATATTAATAAAAAATTATAAAGAAATTAATTATTTATATAAATAAATAATATGAAAATAAATTATATTTTTAATTTCCGAAATAATATTTGGTGATATTTTATCAAATAAATACATCAATGACTACTTTTACAAAATCGGTATGATAAAATAAATTAATAATATAAATATTGATTTATTTAACATTTTCGTCTATTTTCAGCATTTTCTTTCCAAACACTTCCATCACTATAAACTTCTTTCTTCCATATTGGAGCCTTTTCTTTTAAATGATCAATTAACCATTCTACAGCATGAAGAGATTCTTTACGATGTGCACTTGATACTGCTACTATGACACTGGTTTCTCCCACAGGAACGATACCTGTACGATGAAATATTGCAGTTTTAATGAGGTTCCATTTTGTTCTTGCTTCAGAAATAATATTCAATAAAACCTTTTCTGCCATTGGAACATAAGATTCGTATTCTAATCGAATAACCGACTTCCCTATTCACAAAAGAATCAAAAAATAGATTAAATAAATAAGATAAATATAATGTATGTACTGTATATATATCTTTGACTGCTTACCTTCGAAAGTATTACGAGTTGTACCATTAAATGTTGATATTGCTCCCGCCCCATCATCTTTTACCAAATCTACAATATCTTGAAGTATAAGAGGTTCTGAAGTCAATTTAACAAAATCTTTATTTGTCATTTCGAGAGAGGATAAAACTTGTTGATTATCTTGAAGGAATCAGGTGATAATGCTTAGCAAAAACCTGAAAGCTGTCGAATTATTATTGGATAAAATATAGTGTTGTGTAAGGAAACCAAAAAAAAATAATTTAAATGATTCAAGTTTCACAATCTACGATATCGGGAATAAACCGATGATTTAATATTAAATACTCCACATTTTTTTGATTTTTTTTTTTTCTTCAAATTCAATTTTTTATTTTATTTTTCAAATTTTTTTTTTTTTTTTCAGGCATTCATTATTTCTATTAGTAATTTAACAAAGAAAAAAAAAATGCCAGGCGAAGCAATGCTTTTCCTCTTTGGTACCATTATGGCCGCAATATTGTTATTTTCAATGGTCTTTTTTGTATCCTTTTTATTCAATTCACGAGCATTTTATATAATTATTGTAAAGAAAAGGAAATATGCATGAACAATGCGATAGAAAGAACTTATAAAATGAATGCTAATCATACAATATTTATATTATCAATCCATGACTCTTATCATTCAATTTTAATAGACGATCATGTTTTCGGATCTTGAATGTGATTATATTAACCCTATTGATCTTTGCAATAAATTAAATCAAGTAAGTTGAATAATTATTTTTTTCTTGCCATGTATGTGCGTCAAATTTAGTTTCTCTAACGAATTTATTTATCATTTTTTTAGTTTGTTCTCCCAGAGATGATGGCTCATGCGTTCCTTACATTTATGCTGATTATCAATGGAAGTTGGTTTGCAGGAGCTATTAATTTAGTATTAGTTGCCTATAATGTTAACAGGTAATTTATTTATTCATCAATTGGTTTTATTTTATTTATTATTATGAATTGGTTCAATCATTATTTCTAACTTCATTTTTATTTTTTAATTTTTATTTCTTTAGAGTAATGAATAATAGACACATGTATGATGCCACAGAGATTTTTCGAACTATAGGGCAACATAAGACTGAGTGTTTTGCTAAACTTGGATTTTATCTCATTAGTTTCTTTTATTATTTATATAGGTATGAAAAGGGTTTAAATAACGTAGCAACAAATGATCGATATTCACAATTCTTTGTTTTCCCTTTATTTTAGGATGATAGTCGCGCTTATCGATGAATCTTAGATTTGATTTTGGTGGAAAAAAAGCTCATAAACATTTTTTTATGCAATATCAATATCAATATCAATATATATATATATATTGTATTTGGATTACCTTTAATACGAGAATGCTCGCATGATAAAATGAACGAAAAAACAAAGGAAAAAAGGAAAATTAGATAAACATGTTGGGTTTAAGAATTGGACTGAATACATAGAATTGGAAAGAAGAGCCTATTTTAGTGTTATTTTTCATTTTGTTTTCCTTTATAAAACTTTTTTTTTGATCTTTACATATTTATCAAGGGGGGCACAATCAAGTGACTTTTCGTTTGATCAAAAGTTAAATTCTAAACAATTTTTTTAATTTATATTTTTTTATTCCATTCATTTTTATTTATTTTGTCGTAATTGTACAGATTATACTTTTTTTACATTAAAAAAGGGAGATAGGAGGTTCTTGTTTATGTGAAACAATGGCGTCGTCAATTTAACATAAAATATAAGATTATACATATTAAGAGAAAATATTTCAATGATATTTCAATGAAGTAGTTTTTCCTTTGGTTAATTAGTAAGATAGATGTTAATAGATATAAGGTAAAAAGGGGGAATGGGATAAAAATGAAATCCAAACTCACTTGTAGCCATTCGTCCGTTAATGTTTCAATTTCTCGAATATCAAATACCTTAAATTATTCCAGAATATGAAAATGATTAAAAGGGAAGTTCTGAAATGATTTGAACTTATTAATCGGTTACCTTATTTAATTCTGCTTTTTGTTGAAAGTAAGTTTTTGCAGTTGCATACTACGTATGAATTGTTCCAAAAAAAAAATCAAATCAAATTCAGATCAAATTTCACTTCAAAAAATAAGGCGATGTAAATTACCAGCATGTGTATCTCTGGTTTTGTAGTTGCTGGCGAATAATAAATTAAAACTAAAGGATACGATTTACGTCCATCGTTATGTAACAACTAATCCAAGTGATTTGATTCATTAATATAACAAGATCCAATGTTTTTTTTTTTTTTTTTAAAAAAAAAAAAGAAATGGATTTTCTTACTTCATAACTTAATACAATATATCTTGGAGAGTTTTCGGGCAATTCTTTTTTATTAGTATGAAAAAATAAAGTTATTTTAATTTGAATTTTTTTTTTTTTATAGGAAATCATTAAAAAAAGTTCTTGTAATAATATTATTATTACCTTCTACAAGTTCTTCTAAGGATATATTGTCATATAGTTCATCTTCTATCACTAATAAATTTTCTCTATCGATTTTCACTTTAAACGAAGACATTTTTTTTTTTTAATTTTCGTTTTAGTTAAATTTTGTTCTTTCTACTTTGTCGATTTTTTTCGTGTGGCAAGAATAAGTCTGTTTCTTAATGGAAGAACGGACAAACTTACAAACATAAGCGGCACTTCCTTTCGAATTTTTTGAAAACCTAAATTTTCGAAGTTTTTCTAACACTTTAGGATCCACTTCACAAGTTGAAGTCTAATAATTATATTTATTTTCTTTCTTTAGAAATCAAGAATTGGTTTTCCTTTACGAATATAAACACGAACATATACGTTACCATATTAAAAGTTTTGTTTGAATAAAATGTATTATTTAAATTTAAATTTAAAATTTATTATAAAAATATACCGAAAATGTAATTATGGAAAGTTTTTTTTTTACACATTTCATTTTATAAAAGTCAATATTGATGTGCGAACGAAAATCATTACTAGAATTCATTTATCACTTAAGCAAGGTATCCATTTATTAATTAATAAACAAAAAAAAATACAAATAGTAGCAATCAATCAAATACGTCGATTTATTCTGTTGGGAAACGAGCACAAAATATTATTATTAATGTGTTGATAAAAAGTTTAACCTCCAAAACCATAAAGAGTTCGTCCTTGGCGTTTGAGTGCATAGACTATTTTTAAGGAAAGAGTTTAATTAATATTTTTTTCAAAAAAAAAAGAAAAAAAAGAAAAAATTTTGCAAAGGAAATGTTACTAACCAACATCTAAAGACGTTACAGTCTTACGCTTAGCATGTTCTGTATAGGTTACAGCATCTCGAATTACATTTTCAAGGAATACTTTGAGGACCCCGCGTGTTTCTTCATAGATAAGACCAGAAATACGTTTTACACCACCTCTGCGTGCGAGACGTCTGATAGCAGGTTTAGTAATACCCTAAAGAATTATTTTTAAAAAAAAAAAAAAAATTTGATATTTAATAAAAAAAAAAAAAAAAATGAAAATGAAAAAATGTTCAAAGTTTAAAGTTCCCATACTTGAATGTTGTCTCGAAGAATTTTGCGATGACGTTTTGCGCCTCCTTTTCCAAGTCCTTTTCCTCCTTTACCACGTCCAGACATTTTTTATGTTTTTTGTTTTTGTGAAAGATTAAAAAGAAAGGGTTTTAGATACCTTTTTAAAAGGGTAGGATAGTTTTATTACGAGAGAGGTAGGTTACGGTGTATTATTTGTTTCTTTAAATTTTTGATTAACGACCCGAAAAATGAGTGGGAGAAAAAGTGTCTTTATATATACTCTGATCTGATCGCGTTTAGATCATTAACGCGACATCTTTGTTTTGTTTTTTTTTTATCTTGTTTCTCGTAAATTGTGTAAATTGCTCCGCGTAAACAAATGATAATACCAAAACACGCCGCGATTGGCTTTACATTATTTCGTGTTGTGTATTGTATTTCATTTATGCTACTGTTGCTATTTTTAGATCCTTTTCGCGATTTCTTTGTTTTCTATTTATACTATTTATACAAAAATTAATGTCGATCCGATCATAACGCGCTTGGTCGTTTTTAAAATTCGTGGCTTAGTTTCATTTTGTCGCGTTCTGACACAATCTCAAAACAATCATTTTTTGAATTGACGCGTAGATCAAAAGGTTATATAAAGAGTTGATTTTTTGACTCGCCCCAACTTTCAATCTTTTGTATCACGAACAAAAATCTTTCCTCTTCGTTAAATTCCTCTTTGATTTATAAAAAACTAAACCCGAGACTCGTCTCTCTGAAACACAAAACATAAAACTTATTTACAAACTTATTAACAGAAATATATAGCAATGGCACGAACAAAGCAAACCGCTCGTAAATCAACCGGTGGAAAAGCTCCTCGTAAACAACTTGCAACTAAGGCTGCACGAAAAAGCGCTCCAGCTGCTGGTGGTGTTAAGAAAGTATGTGTAAAAAAAAAAAAAAGGAAAAGAAAGAAAGAAAGAAATAAAGAAAAAAAAATTATTTTATTTTATTATTATAATACATTCATTTACGTTTACTCCTTTTATTTTTTATTTATTTCATTAGCCACATCGTTATAGACCCGGTACCGTTGCCCTTCGAGAAATCAGACGTTACCAAAAATCGACTGAATTGTTGATTCGAAAACTTCCTTTCCAACGCTTGGTTCGTGAAATTGCACAAGATTTCAAAACTGACTTGCGCTTCCAAAGTTCAGCCATTGGAGCCCTTCAAGAAGCTGCTGAAGCTTACTTGGTACGTTTGACGAACATGAATTATATCAATCAATTATTTGCTTTTTAAGCCAATTAAAATTAACACATCCATATTCGAAATTTCAGGTTGCTTTATTTGAAGATACAAATTTAGCGGCTATTCACGCAAAACGTGTTACAATTCAACCAAAAGATATTCAACTTGCCAGAAGACTTCGTGGAGAACGATCTTAAACATTTTTTATTTGACATTTTAATTTGGGAGGGAAACTTTGGAACTTTTTTTTTTTCGGAGGAACAATTTTTTTTTTTTTTTTTTACAACAATTTATCAATGGATTCCTAATATCAATTTTAATTAGCAATTTAACAATTTGTTCGTCAAGAATAAAATTATAATACTTAATTTCGCGTCCAAATATTTTTCATTTTGAATATATTGAATACAAAGGCTGAAAGTGTGACAATAGATTCTTTTGTAATACATGAATTTTAAGATTATCGCCCAATTTCGTCATAAGTATTTTTAAGACTTTCACAATATTATATCGATCTATTTCCTTTCATGATAAGTTGAACAAAGAACATAGCTGAGTCATCTTGTTTATGTTTGTAAATTTCAATGATCACAAATCAGCAATTTCTCACATTAATCAAAAAAAATAAAAAATAAAAAGAACCCTTCAAACTTTCGGCCAAGAATATTGCCGGGATACATATATGGAAATGTCATCTAAAATTGGCCTTGTTGTGTTCCCCAACTTTTTTTTTATGTTTGGTTAAATAATTTAGATCAAAAACAGTTCTCGAAAAATAAATAATTTTTTCATCTTATTTAAGACTAATTTTCCTTTAAAGTAATTCTTTTTTAAAGTTATGTCGCATACTCCGCGTAACTTATCAACACCTACAGAGTTTGGTACGATTTCAAAATCGCTCTTTTTTTTTTATATGTATATATAATGTACTGATCTAAAAATGCTGTGAACTAGATGGTAGTCAATATGATACTGACGAAGACGAACAGCAACTTACAGAAGTAACCCCACTCACGGCTCGTGAACGTGATATCTCAGGTATACCCAACATAAAACATTCTTTGACAATTAGAATTATCTTCTTACATATTTTAAATTTTCAGGTTCACGACCTGACAAAAAAAATGAATCATGGTTAACATTTAAAACTCGGCTTAGATATTATGTTCCAGTTTTCAGTTGGTTACCAACTTATTCATTACATACTTTTTGGGGTGACTTTGCTGCCGGTTTAACCGTAACAGCTATTTTGTTGCCTTCTGCTTTATCATATTCTGTGCTGGCAAAGTTACCGCCTGTTCATGGTTTATATTCGGTTGTCATTCCTGGATTTATTTATTCTTTTCTCGGAACATCAAGGTAAATGAATCAATTATTAAATAATTTAATTCAATCATAATCTTTAATTTTTAATCGATTTGATTTACGTTTAGACAATTAGTCATTGGACCTGAAGCGCTTGTATCTATGCTGGTGGGTTCTTCTGTATCTCAACAGCAAAAATATTTAGGCAAGGAGGATGATCCAGAAACCGCAATTATGATTGCAGGTCTAGTCACATTTTTTGTGGGCATCTTGACATTCATTCTTGGTATTGTTCGGTTAGGGTTCTTGGATTCCGTTTTATCACGCGCTCTTCTACGAGGATTTATTTCTGCGGTAGCGATTGTGATTATAATCGAACAATTCTTGACCATGTTCCGTTTATCCGATATAGCCGCAGAAGATGGAATTGGTCATGCATCATCAACAGTTGAAATATTTATCTATATGATCAAACATCTTAACCTTGCTCACAGACTGACAACTATAGTATCATTCTCAAGTCTTGCTTTTCTTTTATTATTTGGACAACTCAAAAAAAGGCTCGCCAAACGATGGCCACAAGTGCAATTCATACCAGAGATTTTGATATGTGTAATAATATTTACAATTTTATGCAGAATTTTTGGGTGGGATGAACAAGGGGTTTATATTCTTGGATCAGTTAAAGGAAGTGGATTTAGATTCAGAATTCCTTTCCCACCATCCGCTCCTCATTTAATAGATTGTTTTGAAACAGCTGCTTTGATCTCAGTTATTGGCTTTGTGGAATCTATTGTGGTCACAAAAACTTACGCGACGAAGCATAATTACGCTGTTAGTGCCAATCGTGAGCTAGTTGCTTTGGGTACTGCAAATTTGGTAGGAAGCTTTTTCCAATGCTTCCCCGCTTACGGTGGTATGGCAAGAAGTGGTATCAACGACAGAGCTGGCTCTAGGACTCAATTATCAGGGCTCATAAATTCTATTCTTGTACTTTTATGTTTGTTTTTCCTTCTTGATGCATTTTATTATTTGCCGAAACCTGTATTAGCGGCAATCGTTACTGTTGCTGCTATATCATTGTTAGAAGAGCTTCCCCATGATTTATATTTCATGTACAAGATCAAAGCATGGAAAGATTACGCTTTACTCCTTTTGACATTTTTATCCACCATCTTTATTTCCACTGAATATGGCACATTAATTTCGGTCGCTTTATCATTATTACTTGTCGTAAAACATTCTACTTATCCACGTATCACATTATTGGTAGGTATTCGCGAATCAATTTCTTATTTTCAATTTTTTTCATTTATTGATGATTTTTATTTTTTACATAATATAGGGTAAGATAGGTGAAACAGATAAATTCAAACCTATCAAAGATTTCCCAGATCAAGCAGAACATGTCGAAGGAGTGCTTGTGGTCAGAATCGCTGAACCTTTGTACTTTGCAAATACTGGTCAACTTAAAGATAGATTAAGACGTTTAGAAGAATTTGGTGATATGAGTGTCCATCCTTCAGAAGAAGCTCGAATGTCTCCAATTGAAAACGTGATATTTGACATAGAAACGATGGAGGAAGTTGATGCTAGGTACATGAAAATATGACGACTTTTTTTTTTGTGGTTTGAATTTAAGTTATTAAATCAAGTTGTTCAATTACGTTTAGTGCCGCACAAATTCTATTAGAAATTGTTGAATCATATCAACAACGTCGAGTTAACGTGTTTTTCGTGAAATTGCGTGAAAATCAAAAGAAATTATTTGTACGCGCTGGAATAATGGACAAAGTTGGTCATGATCATTTCTTTAAGTAAGAGTTTATTTATTTATCTATCTATCTATTAAATTCTCTTTATTAATAATTTCATTTTATACGAATAGACGAATTCCTGATGCACTTGAATATATTAATAGAGGAGGGTTTATTATTGGTTGATTATAGTTTTGTAATTATGTACGTAATGTATAAAATATTTGATTTAATATTATTATTATTTATCTGTTAATAATTTATCTTAAAATAATTATTATGACTTTAAAATTGAATTGAATGTAAGTTATATTTTTAATAAAACATAATAATTTAGATCATCACGAACATGCAATGTCATTAGAAAATTTATATCTCCCCATATTTAAAATCATTGTCGCTTAGCTGATACTGTATATAAATGTATTTTTCATTATTTTATTCTTACTCTTAAAATAAATAAATAAATACATGTAAGTTGCATTATTAAACAACTTGATTGTCCAATAGGCGGCGGTGATTAAGAGATGGAGATCTAGATCTACTGTAAATAGTTGAAGGTAAACAAACAATAAACAAATATTACAATAGAGGTATGAATTTAAATTCCATCTATTAGATTATCTCCTCTAAAACAAAAATGTCAAAAATGTGAAGTCTTAAGTTTTAAATTAAATTAGCCATGAATTAAGTGTATAAACTAGTTTGACTACCCACTTCAATCCATAATTTTCGATGTTTGTTTAAAATATATGTGTAAATGCAACAAGCCACAATATTTTGATAGGCGAATAAGAAGAATTATTCAGTCGTGGATAACAAAGTGATAGCATAGAAATATTTCATGATCCATTTTCATGTATTTTTACCAAGATTCCATAATAAAGTATTTATATTAAAACAGAGAAATTCATTTAATGAATTGAGTAATAAGAAAAAAAAAAAAAAACACTTCAACCGATGTATTTATTACATTTCAAAGATTTCAAAATACTAATAGAATTACCCAATTTATCAATAACTTTTAAATTTTTATAATAAGTATTACCTAAAATAGAAATTACCTATTATAAACACAAATATGAGATTTTCTTGAATTTTATATTTCAATTTAATAAATAACTTGCTTTGGAATTATGTGCAATAAATTACCATCTGATTTGCTTATTGGAAAAAACAAATTACTATCAATATTAACAAATATAGCAACTGAAAGGTAGAATAAAAAATTATATCTTGAAAAAATAAAATATAAGCATGCTGATTAAATACTAATTTATATATTTACAATACTTTTCCTAACGATATTTCTTCTTTTGATATATATAAAATGAATCCATTTTTTCACAATAAATTATTATTAATTATATTTACATAAGAAATATTTAAAGCTACAATATATAATAATAATAACTAAATATTAATTATTAATTATTAATTTATAATTAAAAATTCACAAATATACATATACTATTAATATATTAAAGAATCCAATATTTTCTAATTTTTTTCTTCTTATTTATCTTTCTTTTTATGATCTAATTGTTGATTTTGAAATATTATCATTTTAACAAAAATTCTAACTTAAAAATTTGTTGTATTTTTATTGAATCCTTCATAATTAATTGATAGTTTAGCAAAATTATTTAGATTATAAAATGTATTATAAAATACATAAGTTTATATTATCTGTATAACCTATATGTATGATATATTATACTAATAATGTGATATAACTATCAATTATTACTATTTTCAAAAAAAGTGTAATTAACAATCATGTGATTTATACTGTCAAAAAGCTAATTTTATACAATTTCTTAATTTTGTTCAAAATATTTTTATTAATATTATTAGCTTATTATGATTTTTTTTTTTACTTTAAAATCTTTATATTTTAAACTTACTTATGTTAAAATTTGAAAAAGATTGTATAATTTTTTGACAATAATTTTTAACAAATTTAAATTCTTATAAAATAATTTTAATTTTTTAGATTTTTTGTTTTTTTTTTTTGTTTTTTGAAAAAAAACTATATGTTAGTAAATAGGTAAAAAATTAAGTGATGAATTAAAATAATATATTATTTACTAGAAAATGAAACCATTGTGAGTCCAAAGCGAAATATTTATTTTACTAATTATTTTTATTATGATATTTTAAATTAGAATTGCAGACTTAAAACTAAATCCATTAGAAAAATAAATAAATGCAATAAAAAAAAATGTATATTCATACAATAATTAATATATATATATGCAATGTAATAAATAGAATAAAATATAATAAATATGAATAAATATATTATTATTGTATGATTAACTTAATTGTATGCAAACTAAAAAATATAATAAAATTTAATTAACTAAATTTTACAATTTTATTATAAAATATAATACTAAAATTGACATGCTGATCATGCTGATCATGCTGTGCAATATTCAATTAAAGTAAAATACAAGCCACTATAGAATTTCTCTTTAGCATATATAATGGATGATAAATTTATAAGTTGAAACACTCTTAGAAAGTGTAAATCTAGAGAGAATTAATCACCTAACCAACGTGAATCACGTCTTGCAAAGCAACGTAAATACAAGCAGTAAAAAAAAACAAAGAAAAATGTTGAAGAATGAGAGACGCATTTTGCATGTGATAATAACTAAAAATACGTAAAGTTAGTAATAGAAATAGATAAACAACATAAAAAATGACTAAATTCTTATCGTAAATGAAGAACTTATCTAAAAAATATTATCCAAAATTAAGATCAAGACTTGAATCTACAATAGAAACGACTGCAACAAAGGTCTAACTAAAGCAGTAACGCAAATGATGCATATATTTATTTTGAGTCACAATCCGCAACTATACTAAGTGAATCTGAACAAAGTCTTCTAAAGAATTTTTACAATAAAGTCGATAAATTTAAACATAATCTTTGCCTTACATGCAATGAAAGATTTTCATCAATATTACTTGTAAGAGGGGAATGCCAACATTACCATTACGAAAAAAAATGCTTCAAAGAAATTCTCAGCGAATAACAATATAGATTTAGGCGAAGTTCCCAATAAACTTCAAGGTCTTATCAAATTTAAGGAAATGTTGATTGCGCGAGTTTTTCCTGCGATATCAGTTTATAAACTTTACGGAAGACAACATGAGTATCATAAAAATATAATTAAGATATTCAAAATTTTGTTTTAAAACTTTTTTAACATCCATTATCATTAGATGTGCTTGTAATACATCACCAATCAGTAAGTAATTCAGAAGTATTTAAAGATTTTAAAGTTTGTAATACTAAGGTCACTTGTACATTGATTTGGCTAAAAGAAAATAATTATTACTACAGTGATGTAATAATTAATTTTGAAGTTCTTTAATCTCTACCAACTGATAATTCAATAAGTGACCAACGTAAAAATATTGCTGAAAACTGGATTATGAAAATGAAAAAGACATAATTATACGTACCTTTATTCCGCTTTCTCCTTCAGCTCATCATGAAAACGTTACTATTACAAGTACCCTTGATCTAATACAGGAGAATAATCATCCTGTTACATGACCGCAAATAAATAGTAATCATATCAATAAATTTTAAACGTCAGAATATATCACATGTGCATTTCTGCCTTTATACCCAATTGAAAATGCAGACCTTCGTACAGAGCGCATTAAAAAAGTAATGCCAGTTAAATATTTTAAGCACCTTCTTATATATAAAGATGGAAGATTTGCGTAACATGTTCAATATTAATATTTTACGTTGAATTCTCAAATGCGTTGGCGAGGACTATAAGAAGGAAAAGTATATATTAAACAAAATCTTACTGATCCTCAAATTACCATCTCGGATATTCAAGAAAGAATTAACCAAGGTGACAAACATATTTCTGACAAAATAATGTGTTTTGGTAAAGGATTATGTGGATCCCGTCAGTTCTGAAATGCATAACACTTTGAACTCTCTGATATGATAAAGCAAATAGAAGCACAGGGTTTAATCTTCTTTACATTTAGTGCTGCTGATTTACACTGGCCTGAGCTCTATAAGTTTATGCTGTTTAGCAATAATTCTGAAACTTCGGCTAAACACCATCACCAAAATATTGTTGATAATCCTCATATCGTGATCTGATTTTTCAGCAAGCGATTTGAAATCTTCTTTAATGACGTCTTAGTACAATAATGGGAATTGGAAGATTGGTGGTATAGATTCGAATGGCAATATCACAGTAGTTTTCACATCTATAGAATCAGAAAGAGAAGAAATACGTTTATAATAGAATAAAAGCAAATGAAAAGTAATAAAAACAATATGAATGAAGTCACATAATATCTCGACAATTTGGTCACCACAATAAATCCAGAACTTGATATGCCTGTTCTTGAGCAGCATTCATGTCAAAAGAAAAACAATGAATTAATCAATGACCAGTAAGACTACATCAATTTGGTTAATAAATTGCAAAGACATACTCGATGTAGTTCTATGTATTGCTTTCATACCAACCAAGAAGGAAAACAGTTTTGTAGATTTGGATACCCTAAGGAAATTGTTAAACAAACATTTATGTAAGATGATAACTATAGACAACTGAAGCTTGTAACAAAAAAAAATGTTCAATATATCAACACATATAGCCAGCTTTAACTACAGAGTTGGTGAGCTAATATGGACTTAAAGCCAATTCTAAGCATATATATTGCATTGCAATATATTGCGAAGTATGCAAGTAAAGTAGAATCACGATTTGAAACCTTTTTAGACATATTGAATCAAATCCTTGGTGAAAGTCGGCTGAAAGATTTAATACTTATTCCAGTCCAAAAGTTTTTATTATACAGTATTGCAGAGCGGGATATCTCTGCCTAAGAAATCTGTCATATTCTTCTCAATCTTCCTCTTTATCATTCAAGTCGGCAATTTGTCTTCTTAAATCTTAACAAAAAAGCACTGAGATAGATTTGTGTCACTGGGGAAAGTGAAGAATCTTCTATGATTAATAATTTAGGGCGAATGGAGAAGTCACCTTTGAAGACATATTGGAATTGACCAGCTGAACTTGAGGACTTTACGCTATTCTGACTCTATTTGACACACAAGTTAGCTAAAAATCAATGAAAAATATACCAACAAGAAAACATTATGCGTATACTTCTACACCCATCACCAA